AAAGCGGAGCCGTGCTGGGGTGACGCGCTGCCGTAGGAAATGGGTAACTGTACGATTAACCTGCCAGCTCTCCTTCCAGGGATTTTTACTGCCGGGGGGTGACCGAAGAGCGGGAAAAATAAAGGAAAAAAAAAACCCCACACCAAAAATGCGTCGCCCCACGGGTGAGTCATTTGAACTGGACACTTCAAGGGAAACAGGAGGCCAAGGGCATAAATGAGAGCTAAACAAAGTTTAACCACCCCTCCTTCTTCTCCAGAAGAGCAGGAAAAATAAAGGAAAAAAAAAACCCCACACCAAAAATGCGTCGCCCCACGGGTGAGTCATTTGAACTGGACACTTCAAGGGAAACAGGAGGCCAAGGGCATAAATGAGAGCTAAACAAAGTTTAACCACCCCTCCTTCTTCTCCCCATGCGCAAAATGGAAACCTTATTATATGATTCACTGTGAATCAGTAGATTGAATGCGATCATTATGAGTAAATGATAGCCGGGGCTCCGCTGGTCTTTTCTTTCCTAGAGGCAAAACTATAAAATATGAAGGATATAAATGGTCTTCGCTCCCTCATAAAGGACATTCATTCAAAGCCGCACTCTGTCTCCCTCCCAGTTCCTTTGGTCCCCTTGAATTCCACAACGATCAAGGTAGATTACGACGAGTCCCAGTTTATTTGTCTTCACGAGCTTGTTTGTTGGCGAAATGTCACGAAATGTAATTTGCCCCAAATTCTTTAACATGAGAAAATACTTTGTGGTTGAAGGAATCCATGCTGGTACCGCCAAGGCGATCTCCGATGCTCAGAGCAAGTTCATTATCACGCTCTTTTACAGCGTTTCCATGTTTACTCCTCATTTCTCAGGAGCCTTTTACATATCGTTGCATAAGAAAAGGATTTCGCCAGCTCTAGTTATGAGATTTCCTAGATTTTTTACAGGCGGAGCCGTTTACAAAAGCTGTATTGTTTGACTGCGGTCTGGGTTTCCATTTGGGGTAATTATTGTATTCCCAGTCTTCTTCTAATCATTTGCTCACAAGGACACAGTTTTGTGGGTTTTTTTCCCTCCCCTTTTGAAGAAGATGAAATACTCCAAACTTGCAAGACGATTGGAATAATCCCCCCGCTCTTTTTTGCCTATTGTGCAAAAGCTATTCCTTACAGCTCTCTAAATCGCTGTAAAATGTGTGATGGAAAGGACGGTAAGAAACATCCAGAGCGGAAGAAACGCGTGTCACAT